CGACGGGCAACCAGCACCTGGGAAACCCAACCCTGATGGAGGAGCTGGTCGCCAAGTTACCTGTGAGCAAAAGGCTGGACTGGGCGAAGCACGCGGCTGCGATACAGCCATACTCGACAGTGGTGCACCTGAGCGAGTGGCTTCATGAATTCGATAAATTGGTGTGCACTGTCACGGACGTCGGAATCAAGGAGCACCCGAAGCGACGGGTGTTGCACGCGAATAGCGTCCCCGAGGAGGAGCGGTATGCAGACCGCCCCAAACGTTGCCCCATGTGTGAGGGACAACACGAGATCAAAGATTGCAAGGAATTCAACCACGCTTCTTCGACGATGCGGATCGAGTCCGCGAGGAAGTTGAGGTTATGTTTTTCGTGTCTGGAGTATGGACACATGGCCCGGTTCTGCAAGAACGGCCGCGAATGCAACGTCTACGGATGCCGGATGAGGCATCACTACCTACTCCATGAACCAGCTGGACATCCCAGACGGCCGCCAGTCGCAGATGGACGCAGACGTTGTACGGGGAGAATACGCAGGTAGACACCTACGCACAGACGACCCTTCTGTTACGCTCATCGACGACGAACTGAGTCGACAACTGAATGTGCAGTGGTTTGGCGGAAAGTCCGCCAAAGAGCATACAAGGATGGTTAGCCTGCAGATCAGTGCAGCGGGCAAACCCAAGCGCCATGGGCTAAAGAACGTTTACGGAGTAGCCAATTTGAACCGATGCAGAGCTTGCGTCGGGAAGTGAAGGCGAATGCGCGCCTGCCTGTAAGGCCGTACAGCAATGCGGCGCCAAGGATCCTAATTGGACTGGATCATGCGCATCTTGGAATACCCCTCAGAACCAGAAGCTACGGATCTGGAGCGCCATACGCAGAAGCCACCGCACTTGGATGGGTGGTATATGGACCGGTGAAGGGAAAGGCGTGTTCACTGCTTCAGAGATCGTGCCTCCTAGCCGTGCCTCAGGATAATCTTCTGGAGAAGATGGTCAGCAATTATTTCGAGATCGAGAATTTCGGAATGAAGCCGGCACAGCCACTCGCAGCTGGCGGAGTGAAGCCGGCGCCGTCAGTCGCAGATGGCAGCGTTGCACGGGCCCTGAGTATCCTGGAGGAGACGACTAAACGAGTTGGTCAACGATATGAGACTGGGCTCCTATGGAGAGACGACGAGGTGAGACTGCCAGAGAGCTACAGTATGGCACTCAAGAGACTCGTCAACATTGAGCGGAATATGAAGCGCGATGTGGACTTCGCGCGGGCCTACGACAGAATTATGGATGATTACGTAAAGAAAGGCTACGCACGACGACTGGAGCCCCAGGAAGTCCAGAGGTCCCAGGAAGGCAAGGTATGGTACCTGCCGCACTTCGGGGTGGAAAACTCGAACAAGCCTGGAAAAATCCGGCTGGTCTTCGACGCGGCTGCCAAGGTGAAAGGCGTGTCACTGAATTCGGCGCTGATGAAAGGCCTACAGCGCTACAAGCCCCTCCCAGCGGTACTCTTCCATTTCCGGGAAGGAGCAGTTGAGGTTTGTGCAGACATCAAGATGTTTCATGAGGTATTGATGCGACCACAGGACAGATGCGCTTAGAGGTTCCTGTGGAGAAACGGAGACGATCGTCGGGATCCCGACATATATCAGATGACAGGTGATGACGTTCGGAGCTGCCTGCTCACCATGCTCGGCGGATTATGTGAAGACCGTAAATGCTTCGCAGTACAGCAGCACGGATCCGCGAGCAGTCCTGGCGATCAACGAGTATCACTACGTGGACGACTACGTCGACAGTTTTGCCAGTGAAGCAGAAGCCATTGCTGTCTCGACACGGGTGAGAGAAACACATGAGAATGCTGGTTTTGATTTGGAGCGTGATGACAGGGAACGCGTCCCCACGAAGAGGGAGTTCCTGAGCCTGGTCATGTCCACGTTCGACCCGATGGGGTTTTTGAGCTGCTATATGGTCACCGCCAAGATATTGATGCGAAAGATTTGGCGGAGAGGAGTCGGCTGGGACGAGCAGCTGTCAGAAGAGTTAGCCGCGCCCTTTGAGAGCTGGCGGCAACGAAGAATTCCGATGTCCACGCTACTATTTCGGCGCTGGACGAGTGCGGGCACTACAGCTGCACATCTTCGTGGATTCCAGCCAGTCAGCGTTTGCAGCAGCGGCCTATTGGCGGGCCACATATGAGAGCGGAGACGTGCAGGCGCATTTCATATGTTCCAAGACGAAGTGCGCTCCGATGAGGACAATGTCTATTCCCCGTCTGGAACTTCAAGCGGCAGTATTGCGTACGAGACTGATGGACACCGTCAAGCAGGAGCACGGTGTGGCGATCAGCGACTGCGTACTATAGACAGATTCTAAGACTGTGCTGCACTGGATAAGCAGCACCCACCGGAGATACAAGCAGTTCGTCGGAAACCGGGTGGCGGAAATCTTAGAATCCACAGAGATGTCCCAATGGAGATGGATCCCGTCTGCCGAAAACGTGGCAGATGACGCGTCGAGGCCGCGCATGAGCGTGGACCTAAGTATCGGTCGCGCACTGATTAGGCAGTCGCAGCTAGAAGCGTTTGCTGAGGACAACCAAGGAAAGGCCGCCAAGGGCAGCCGACTGTACGGGTTGTCCCCATACTTCGACGACGCGGCGTGTGTGCCATACAGCGTGCGACGGCCGATCATACTGTCTCACACGGAGGCACTGGCGGAAATGATTGTGCAGCATCACCACGAGAGGATGTGCCACCTAAATACGGAGGCAACTATCGGAGCGATCCGGCAGAAGTTCTGGATTACGAACTTACGGCGGCGGTGGTGAGCAACTGCAACGTCCGCAAGCTACGGAAGGCGCGCCCAGCGCAACCTGTAATGGGTCCCCTGCCAGAGGACCGACTGGAGGCCAACGGATGGCCGTTTAAGTATACCGGCTTGGATTATTTTGGACCGCTATTTGTGAATATTGGACGTCGTACAGAGAAAAGGTGGGTGGCATTGTTTACATGTCTAACCACAAGGGCTATCCACTTGGAGATGGCCCACGACTTATCTACAGATTCCTGTATAATCGCCATGAGGAATTTCATGAGCCGCCGTGGACCGGTGGTCAGGATAAGGAGCGACAACGGGAAGAACTTTGTTTGAGCCTGCGATGATCCAGGGCGAGTCCAAAGTCCAAAGGAGCCGAATGGATCTTCAATTGCCCGGCGAACCCAGCTGAGGGTGGTGCCTAGGAAAGGATGGTGCAGTGTGTCAAGGAGGTCTTGGCGCATACTATGAAGGAGCTTGCGCCCAAGGAGCACGTACTGGAGAACCTGTTGATTGAGGCGGAGAGCATAGTGAACTCTTGTCCGCTCACTCATCTACCAGTAACGGTGGACCAGGAGGCACCACTGACACCCAACGATCTGCTAAAGGGGGTGCCCGATGTTCCAGATCTACCCAGGGATAACGGACAGGAGTCCGAGAGATGCGCTACCAGGAAGCAGTGGCGCATAGCGAGAATGATGAGAGATCGATTCTGGAAGCGATGGCTGCATGAGTACCTGCCGACGCTTGTACGCAGGGAGAGATGGTGCCAGCACGCCGAGCCCATTCGTCGAGGAAATCTGGTGTACATATGTGATCCGGCCATACCATGAAGAGAGTGGAAACAAGGCGTCGTGGAAGAGGTGTTCACCGGAAGAGATGGAGTGCCTCGTCGAGCGGCGGTGCGGACTAACGATCGAGCCAAGACGATAATACGTCCCGCTTCGAAGCTAGCTGTCCTGGACGTGGTGAATGCTTCGCTTCACGGGGGCGGGGATGTCGCGGAACGAATTAGGGCTATCGATAGTTAGCCAGGTTTCAGTAGGACCGTAAAGGAGTCAGTATTTATTGTGTCAGGATTTCGAAATAAATGTAATCGGGCACACTAATTTAGGCAAATGCAAGCTTAGAATTGGCGGATGAATTTACACCGATTTGCGCCATCACAGAGAGAGGGAACAGAAACTGCGGTATGTAAGCTAAGGAAAACTGTATTGCAGGTTAAGTAAGTTAACTTATGTATTTCAGAATAAAACACATCCACACACGATCACAACCAACGTTGTCCTTTGTTATCGCTATTTGAGAGGCGGTTAACGGAGTGTTAAGAAGGCATATCCCCGTGATCGGGCAAGCGGCGTCAATTCCAATATGGCCTGGAACGTAATTATTGAATTATTTGATTTCTTAATATTTTTAGCACACGACACTTCTGCAGTGGAGAACACTTCAACTTCTAATGCAAAGGGACAAAGAAGAAGCAAGACGAAACCGAAAACCGAAGACCGAACATTTCTTTCCCCCGTTTTTCGCTCTATCACCATCTCTCGCAAATTTTTGGGACAGTTGCGTTTCTTAGTTTGTTTCGGAGTTCAATAAACGAAGCCCTGCAAATTGTTTTTGTATTTTTTGGACATGCACCAACAAATCGGACTCGAAGGAAGTTCGGGTATCCGAAGGAAGTTCGGGTTCAAGTAGCAGTCGGCAGAGCGTCGATTCTGTCGACGTCGCAGTCGGCGCGTTGATGAATTGTTGATGAAAAGGCCCCACCCTATCCCCCTGTAAATAAACCTTTCCCTTCCAATTTTCTTGACATAAGGAAAAAAAAAAACACAAAAAACAAAACAAAAACCACAAAAAAAAAAACACACAAAAACACTCAAAACCTAAATGTGATTCATGGTTTTTCAACTCGCAACGAGCTTTTTCCCTCTAGAAAATAAAATTTACATGAAACGTGATCTCATCACAGAAACTCAAATACAAGATACCAATCTAGTTCAAAACCAGTAACTGAGACTAAAGCCTGGAAAAGCTTCACAAAGCGCAAGGCAATATAACACTAATCCATTAAGCAAACTATACAGAATTTGTCACCCTAGTATAAGTAATATCCTAGAGTAAGGTAAATGTTAGCCTTAAGATTAATCTGACAATAAACTTGAAACTTGAAAGCAAAAATGTCCGACTCTGCAGTGGCAACAACCGCGCCAGTTCAGAATAAGGTGGCCGCCAAAAAGGCATCTGGTTCAAGAGCTACCAAGGCCAAGAAGGCAGCAGTTCCACCATCACATCCGCCTACTCAACAAATGGTGGATGCTTCCATCAAGAACTTAAAGGATTGTGATGGCTCATCGCTTTTAGCAATCAAGAAATATATCACTGCCAACTACAAATGCGACGCCCAGACACTGGCTCCATTCATCAAGAAGTGCTTGAAGTCCGCAGTGGCCAATGGAAAGCTGATCCAAACAAAGGGAAAGGGTGCGTCTGGTTCCTTCAAACTGTCGGCCTCTGCCAAAACGGAGCCCAAGCCAAAGGTTGCGGCTGCTGAGAAAAAAGTCAAAAGCAAGAAGGTAGTCACCAAGGAAGCCGAAGCCACCGCAAAGAAAGCCGCCGGAGCTGCTGACAAGAAACCCAAGGCTAAGAAGACCGTTGCCACCAAGAAGACTGCCGAGAAGAAGAAAACTGATAAGGCAAAGGCCAAGGATGCCAAGAAAACTGGAGTCGTAAAGGCAAAGCCAGCAGCAGCAAAGGCTAAGCCGGCCGCCGCGAAGCCAAAGGCAGCGAAGGCACCGAAGGCCAAGGCAGCATCGTCCGCCAAGCCCAAGAAGGCAGTGAAGAAAGCAACTGCTCCAGCTACCGCTAAGAAGCCGAAAGCCAAGACCACGGCGTCGAAGAAGTAAATTAAGATAATCTTAATTATCGCAATTTTAGATTTCGAAATCTGAAATTTGAAATTGATTTAAACAAGCCCTTTTCAGGGCTACAAAACTTTTTTAAAAGAGAGCTAAATTATCAATTTTTTTTTAATTACAAATAGTGTTCCCGTTGAAATGGACTGAGTAATGAGTAATGACTGAGTAGACTGAGTGGCAAAAGTGAAAAAGTGAGAAAAAAAACAATAAGAAAGAACAGCTAGAAAGAGAAAATAGTGAGAAAGAGACGGAATACAGTGAAAGAGAAGGATAAACTGGAGCCCGACAAAGCTCCCGAAGTTGAGGGTTGTGTAGCCAACCCACCCAATCCACACGCGAGTGTAACGAGAGAGTCAAACGGTGCGAGCGCAAGCGTGATCCTCCAATGTAAGGGGGAGAGTACCCTGACTCCAAGTGCGTTCAAACGGGAACCAGTAAACACGAGTGCGAGCGAGACGGGCGATGCCGCTGGGCACGCGCCCTCGGCTGTAACGGCGGATAAAAACGATCCGCGCGCGCCTGCCGTACGAACGTTCGTAATTAAAGCAAGACCGCGACCGCGATTGGTGCGCGTCTTTGTGGATCAGCAGCAGTCGCTGAACCTTGTAAACAATATTAAACAAGTGAATAAAAACGGCAACAAAGACACAATTAACGAGTTAGCGTCTACGCTGACAAAGTGTAAAAACCAAATTATGAAAAAACAACAACACATTGACCATGTAATGGGTAAAGTGATTAAAATATTAAAAAGTCCCAAAGCCGAGGAAGCCAAAGCCGAGTTACAACAACAACAGAAGTTGCAGCAACAACAGCGCTAGGAACAACAACAACAGCAGCAGGCGCTCTTACCGCTGCCGTAAATCCAAACGAAATTGCAATAGTGTGCGCGACCCTCCCCAAGCTACCAAAACGGGGCAAGAGGAAGCACTCCAGCATTTCATCTACGACGACGTCTGCCTGCTCAAGCGCCAATAATAGTGGCAGCGATAGCAGCAGCAACAGTAGTGATGAAGCCATGAGCGAGAATCATTGGCCCGATGGCGAGGCTGAGCCAAGCGCCGTCTTTGTCAGCAGCAACAACAACCGCCGTCTTTGTCAGCAGCAACAATAACAACAGCAATAACGGTCAGCTAGCAGTTCTCATGTCTCATGCCAGTCTACATGCAGATAATCATTTGCTGCGCCAGCAACTGGCACAAATGAATAAACAAATAAATGTAAAGCAGCAGCTGGCTAGTCTGGGACTAGCTGGCAACAGTCGTCAGCTTCAGGGCAACAGGTTTGCGCCATTCCTTGTGAACGAAGACGAAGAAGACGATGGCGACAAATGCTCAACTTCGAAGCCAGCGATTACTATGGCTATGATGCCGAATTCCCAGCACTTTTGGACAATTGCGGCAACAATCAAAGCAGCAAGAATAACAACAACAATAGCAACAACAAAAACAAATACAACAATAACACTAAAGAAAGCGGCAAGATAGTACAAAGCAACATCAACAACAAAATCAACTTTAACCATAGGCAGAGCCCTCCCGCACAGCCTATGGACTTGATGGAAGAAGATGACAACGAGCCCTCCACCTCCACCTCCGGCAGCAGCAGCGGCAGCAGCAGCAGCAGCAACAACGGCAACAGCATCTTCACCAACAAAGGGGGCAAAGGTTGCCCTCTCCAAAGCTGCCAAGACGATGCAACAGCGGCAGCAGCAACAACAAAAAAATATGGCGGCGGCAGCAGCAACCTCCTCCACCAACTACAGTCATAAGAAGAATAATAAAATCCGAATAATTGCGATATATAACGCAATACCAAAATTAATGTAAAATTAAATAACCTTGAAGACTACCTTAAGACAAAAGATTTGCTTAAAGATAATAAAATAAATTTTTACTCGTACACGCCTGATGAACTCAAGCAATTCTCCTTAATTATTAAAAAATTGCCTGTTGAATCATATGAAGCAGATGATGTTCGGTCAGCCCTCATGGAGGCACTTCCGAACGTAGACATATCAACCGTAAAAGAATTCAAGAAGCGTTTTTGCTTGTACAAACCAGGAGCCATGAACATATCAGTCAACTTATTCAATTAAAATTCCTTTTAAACTGTCGAATAATAGTTGAAGGCCTAAAAAAAGATAAAAATCAAATAAGGCAATGCTATAATTGTCAATTATATAAGCATGTTGCAAGCAATTGCAACATGGAACATAGATGCGTCAAGTGCATCAATAAGCACTTGCCAGGGCAGTGTTTAGTAAAAAAAATAGATGAAGTAGATAAAAATGGGAAATCCATCTCACGCGTTAAATGCGTAAACTGTTTAGGGCCACATACTGCAAATGCCAAAATATGTCCGATTTGCGTTGAAATGTTAGAAAAAATGCGAAAAAAGAAGGAAGTAATAACAAACCAAAGAAACCATGTAATTGGCCGAGCCAGTTCAATAATTAATAACAATAAATCATTCGCTTCGCTATTCAACGGTGGGAATACCAATGGTAGAAATGGGAATACTGGCAGCACCACTTCTCTCCCTCCACAAAGAATTGCTACTTCGAATACAGCCCGCCAAAAACATATGGAAGCTAGATTGGCAGCCAAATCAAACTCAAATCTTTGGCCCGTTGCAAACGAATCATTGTCTCTAAACTCTTTTAACAGTGATGCTATAGAATTTTTTGGTACAGATATTTTCAATTGTCTTGACATAATGAAAAGTGTTGTAGGGAAATATGCTGGCATGCGAGTCACCGATCCGATGGAGCTCAAAAAGCAGAAACAGCAAATACTTCTTGATGCAAATGGCCATGTCTTCTACACAGGCCAATGCGAAAACTCAAATGCATTTTCCAAAACGTTAACTCAATTGTGTCTCAGTTCGCATTCGACCTTCATCGAGTGCAGACGTGCTTACGGACGACCGCTACGCTATTCTCGAAGTGTTTTTTCATGGTGAAAAAGTAAATTCGGAACTCTAAACTACGTACTGTCAGCTAGGCCAAGCCCTACAGTGCGTATGACATACGGACACTAGTGCGTGAGACGTGTTTTTGAGCTGCAAAGTTCATTTATATGGTGCCACGCGTAACAAGCTCAAAATAATGAGCGGCGATCAAAAGAAAGAGCGTAGAACCTCTGTAAACCAAAGAAACGGTTGTTTCTCTTATTTCTCAACTCGCGATATCGAAGCAGAAAAGACCCGGCTCTACTGACCGCCGACGGCACGAGAGCGCGCTCTTACTCACCCGCCCTACTCATTCCAGCTCCTACATCTTGGAGCTCCCAATGCCAAACCCCACCACCACCGGCTTCGATGGAAGACGCACCAACAACAAGCAGAGCTGCAATTTCTGCAAACGCAGCAAAAGCAACAGCAACAACTAAGCCAACGACCAATATTGCGAAATCGGTGCCAACGGCCGCAGCGCCAAATTCAATGGTAACAAAAACCGTGAGCTCCGATAAGCAACAAGCGGTTCAGGCCATACAGACTGGCATGGATCGCTATATCCAAATTAAGCTTAGCCCACATAACACGGTTGGGAACAAGCCTAAGATCAACCGTGTCACCATAAGCTACGACCCAAACAACTCCAACAAATTTTCTCCGCAAGCAGCTGATGAGAATAACCAAGCAGAGCCGGAGCAGGAGACTCAAAAACAGCCAAAGCCCCCACCCATTTATATTAGGGAGAAAAGCTCAAACGCCCTGGTCAACAAAATTGTTGCGCTGGTCGGGGACGGAAACTTTCATGTTGTTCCGCTTATTAAAGGGAACATTTGCGAAACAAAAATTCAAACCAAAACAGAAGAACACTTTCGGGCTGTGTCTAAATACCTGGAAGAATCCAAAAAGAATTTTTACACCTACCAACTAAAAAGCAGCAAGGGACTGCAAGTCGTGTTAAAAGGAATTGAACTAGACGTCACACCCTCTGAGATAGTGGAAGCCCTGAAAGACAAGGGTTTCCTTGCCAAGAATATCAGCAACATTATAAATAAAAACAAAAAGCCGCAACCACTCATTGCTGCAATCTCTGAAGGCCAATTCATGGACTTTTACAATTTTCTTGGAGATCGTTTCATAGCTGCAGGAGATTACAACGCCAAGCACACGCATTGGGGATTCCGCCTCGTGACACCCAAGGGAAGACAACTGTATAACGCTCTCATCTTTCGCTCTCAACTTTTGCCTCACATCTCCAGGGCGTTTTCCAGCCGAACCCTGCTGCACATCCATTTGAACTACCGCAAAACCAAACTGAAACGGAATCTACTCCAGCATCATTTCGTCCGAACGAGATCACGAAGGTCATCAGGGAACTGAAGCCGCAAAAGGCTCCCGGCGATGACCTAATAACTCAAAAAATGATAATTGAACTTCCGAATTGTGCTATTGAGGTCATCTGAAAAATCTTTAATGGGATCATAAGTCTCGGCCATTACCCAACTAAATGGAAAAAATCTATAATTATAATGATACCGAAGCACGGAAAAGACCACACGATTCCATCATCTTACCAACCAAGAAGTCTACTGTCATGCTTGTCCAAGTTATTTGAAAAATGCCTACTAAAGCGCATAATTCCTTATCTGGGAGCTCACAACATCATCCCAGCTCATCAATTTGGCTTCAGAGAAAAGCATGGAACTATAGAGCAAGTTAACAGAATAACATCAGAAATTCGCACAGCCTTCGAACATCGAGAATATTGCAGCGCAATATTTTTAGACGTCTCAAGCATTCGACCGCGTCTGGCTCAACGGCCTCATGCACAAAATTAAAACACTCTTGCCGGCATACACACACAAATTACTTGAGTCGTATCTCTACAACAGAGTCTTCGCAGTGAGGTGCAACGCAACAACATCCGGCACCTATTCAATCGAAGCTGGAGTTCCACAAGGAAGCGCACTTGGGCCTACCCTATTTGTCCTATACACAGCGGATATCCCCACAAGCGACCAGCTAACACTATCCACTTTCGCTGACGACACTGCGATCCTCAGCCGTTCCAGATGTCCAATCCGGGCAACAACCCAGCTCGCCAACCACC